TCGATTTGCATTCGGCAATCAAAAAATACATGTTTTTCGAGCTGCAGGGAGTTGATATTCCGTGGGCGCGGTCCGAAACCCAAGCAGTTTGCTCGCTTTACGATCTCCATCGAGCCCGGAAAACTGGGGGTTTCCCTGGGTGGTTTCCCACTGATCCCACTGAGAGCGAAACCTGCAGTTTAAGGAACTCCTAGGAGCGATCATAGCTGTCACTTGTGATTACAGATTCTGCACTTGTAGCTTGGGTCTATCCAGTTAGTAAAGGCCTTTCTCTAAAAACATAATTGTTGACTGACTGTTACTCAGGTAATAGGACTCAAGTTATAGCCATCTTCAGCCCTTCGCTCCCTTTTCTTCTGGCCGTTCTTCAACACAGAAGACGCTGCAGCGTGCCGCATTTCAGCACGCCACGTGAAGACTGGGCAGAAGGTCTTCGAAGGCGTTGTTTTGGCCGCTGGATCGCGGCGGGGCCGGTGAAAGACCGTGTGTGTCCTGTATTAAGTTGATTCCTTTCCTGAAGCTTTCGGCCATTCAGTGTATACGTCCGTTCCATTCAGTTGTATGCCTCATCGAAGCCTTCCAACGTCCGTTTCTTTCCGGAGGTCAAGCTAGCTTAGGTCACGGGCGTGGGAAGCTGCAGCTTCCAACGCGCTTGTGCTCAGACCCGAAGTCGGGTGCCATGCTCCTGCCGTCAGGTCACGTGTCTTTCAGCAAACAGCATGTCAAACGTATGTCGGACGTCTGACCGTGTGCGCATGTGTGTGTGTGTGCCATAAGTTTCAGCTTCCTCTCCACGAGGATTCCTGGTAGGTTCCTGGTAGATAGAGACATTACACCAGCATAGACCCCAAATAGCGAAGATTACTATTGGTGGACAGCACCGTAGCAGCGGCTACACGGCCACACGTCACCAGCACCCAGGCTCCAAAGCGCACACGGGCACCTCTTCCTAAACTTGAGGTAAAAAAAACAAAAGTTCACGCTATCTGGGGAACAATTAGATGGACAAACACATAGATGGATAGGATGCACATAGTATAAGATCAGGCTGTATTAGACAATATTAGATGGATGGCAAACAGAGTTATATATTTTAGATATACATATAGAAAGAAAAAATATATTAATTCATTGTAACAAATGGACGTCAGCCATGAGTCATGCCAATCGCGAGCATGAAATGCATGAACATCAACAGAACACCGCCGGGCGCAGACCGCAAGGAAACACTCGTTCACTCAAAACATCGCCTTAAAGAACATGCTCTCATCTCTTCCAAGAGCTCCCCCGCCAAACCTGAGGGACTTTGTTTCCATCATATCTTCTCCAATCCCATCCTCAAATCCGACCCTTTGGCTTACTCCGGCTTGACGTCTGCACCTCCCCGAGCAACATCTTGATGGTTGGGCTCAAGTGGTTCGCTGCCAGGTTGATGGACATCCCCGGCCGCTTGTAGAGCGTCTGCACAAGTCGTAAACGGCGCGGAAAGAAGCGGCTGATCCCAAATCGGTGGCTGACCAGGGGCACATTTGGGGGATTGGGCGGCCACAAAAAGGACGCCCAACACCCACCTGGATCCACCTAGCCATGCCTAGCTGTCGAATGACTCCAGACTGCGCTCCAAAGATTTAAGATGGTTTCTTGGCTCCATTGGAATTCCCGAGCTACTAAGAGGCCGTTGGTTTTTTTGGCGATCCCTCTTTGCCGGTTTGGTTTGGGTCCCGCCTCCCCGGCGATCGAAGCCGTCAGATCGCTTAGCTGATTGCCTGGCGCGTGAAGCTCGATTTGTGCGTCAGGAGGAGTGTCAGCGTCAGAAGTGCAAGAAGGAGTGACAAAAACATCTGAATATCTATCTCTGAGTTTTATCTGGACATGGCCTCCAACCTACTAGCCATTGCCTCCAACCTGCTAGCAATGGACTCCAACCTACTAGCAATGGACTCCAACCTACTAGC